ACGAAGAAATGACTTTTGGAGGCTCGGAAGATGTTATTCGTAATCAGCTCGTTAAACTGAATCTGAATATGTATAATAAAGTCAAAAATAAATTCCACTGTAAGTTTGCATTAGCTGAACCTTACAATCCATATTTTCTTCAAATATCTCAGTTGAGAATATCTTAGTTGAGAAACCCATATTTCTGCGAAAATATTCGTTTCTCAACTGAGATACATTTTTGACACTTGCGTTGAAACGTGTAATTGTACAAGAGTGCAGTGTACTAATGAAATTAGGTATATGATGTATCTCTACTGACTATCTGACTTTTAAAAAAAGTAGTTATATGCAAAGTGGCGTGAAAGTCGTTGAAATTCTTGTAGATCAATTTCATGTTGAACATCTTGTTTTCTCCGTTTTCTATTCGTCCTTCCTTGTTCATCTCCTTGTTCAATGCGTATACTGTTATTTTTCTTTAACTTTTTGTATGTTCATTATCCAATTCCAAATGCTTGATATATTCCTATATGTCTGCAATTGGGATACAAAACTGTAAAACTCGGGAACTATTGATATTCAGAACTTACGCATTTGACTGTCGATTATTAGTAACTGTTTTTATCAGCAAAATCCATTTCTTTTTTATATATGTCTTATCACTATTTCACATTTATATAACTATTGAATAATAGACCTTAGTACATTGCACTTTCGCACAATTGCACGTTTCAACGCACGTATCAAAATTGTATCAGTTAAGAAAATCGTGAAGTCCATATTTTATAAAATGTATTTCAGTTGAGAAACAAATATTTTCGCAAAAATAATAGTTTCTCAACTGAGATACTTGAATAAAATATGGATTGTATCTCAGCTGAGACGTTACGGTGAAAATATTGGCTGTGAAAGTGAGAAACAAATAACAACCGAAAAATTATTGTCAACAACATAACAAAGTTCAGCAGCGTCATCTCCATCATTAAAATGGCAGTGTAGTTTTGGCGATAAATGGTTACAGGGTCCACAATATTGACTTTAATTTATTTGTAATATGTGCCTTTAGTTGGGTATTAGGTTAGGGTATTTTAGATCGAGATAATGCTATTTCGTTAAAATAAGCGTTCCCCATTTTTATCCCCCCATTCGGAACTTTTCGTCACGCATTCGAAAAAACAGTTAAGATCTTGTTTTGAACAGAAAAAAGCATCGTCTTAATAAGTAGATTTTATGAGTCATATGACACTCAGCTAGTTTTTTCGGTAAAAGTTTTATGCATACGAGAAAAAACGTGCTTTTTTCTCTCCAGTTTCGTGGTCAAAAGTATAAAAGGAAAACAATGAAAGAAAGAACTTGTTTCATAATCATCTTTTAATACAGAAGTCTGTGACATTTTTTGTCTGTTTATTATAGGCGTCCGTCGAGTCAGTTGAAGAGGAAAAAAAGAAGAATGAAAAGTTGCACAATAAAAAGCCTGTACATATACTATTCTATCATTGTACAATCCATTTTTACTCTCTAGTCAACACATCCTAACATTTTAGTTTTTATCGTATACATACACTTTATTTAAATTATTAATTATGACTTTTAAATTAGTTTTGTGTATTTTTGCTTGCTTATTTGCATTTCAAACATTATCGGCTTTACCTGTTAATTCAACGGATGAATCAACAATTCAGGTAAAAAAATATATTCTTTTTGTCATAGATAAAGCATTGAACTCAGTTAGAAATCTCTTTGTAAATTCAATTTTAACATTTATTTTACTAAAATATTTACATGAAAAATTAAATCAACTTATAAGAATTAGTCTGTATTTGACACAGTTTTACAAACGTCAAACAGATATTTTGTTTCTTTAAGCTTGTAACAATTCGAAAATAGACTATTTTAATAAGTAAGAGTGTTTTTTATTCTATTCTAGCCCGGTATGACGACGTTCTTATCATCTTCAGATCCAATGACAACAGTCCCTTCCGTCGATGCTTCAAGTAAAATGATTGGTTTATTACCAGTCAGTGGCGACGATAAAAAACAATATCCTCAATTAATGTTAGATAATACACTGTCAGATTCAGTTTTAGATCAAATTCCCTCATTATATGGTGTAATGAATTTGCTCTCACAAAAACCAGCAACTTTTTCATCAGAAGGTAACATAATTTTATTTTTAATTCTCTCGATTAGTGTTTTACATAAGTAAGGTAGACAGTTCATTCGTTCTGCTTTGGGTTTCGCCACTTCTACAATTGATTCCGCTTTTAAAAATACGGCTATCTTTCTCATAGATTATGTACTAGAAGAAAAGCTTTCGTAAATCTAGATATCGGACTAAATCTGACATTGTTTCGAAAACTGAGTTTTTGAGTTGCTAAATATGTTTAAAATATTGAATTTTTGCTTAAAATTTCTATTCGATATTGTTTAGATTATTCATCCACCGTTAGAACTCCATCACAGATCGACTATTAAAAGAAAAATTGATTTAGAACCATCTGTTTTAAACAGATCTTATTCCTCCACAAGGTTCAAAATTATACATAGTAAACATTATGATATTCATACAAACGTGAACTAGAGAATTTTTTTAATTTTTTTTTCAATATTACACTGTAAATCATATTTCTGTTAATTTTTAAATCTAGGTAATAAAGCAAGAACTTTAATAAAATGAAGAAATTTGACAATACCTCTAAACAGATCCGTCCACTTTGTGCTCAGCAACAATGGCAAGATTGTCGTATGTGTGTAGTGTATGACTACTAAAAGTATATAAAACCGCTCATCTGCTTACTAGGAAAGTCGTATGAAACGTGATCTTCCGTATAATAAACATGTGAATTCTTGGATGTACTTCCAGATTTTTAACTTGTCCGGATTATTTTTTCACGTAGGATTTCCCGCAAACTTCTACACTGTAGTTTTGGTTAGGAATAATAGAAGCACATAATTATGGGTAATTATTCATGATGAGTGCGAATCTAGAGTTCGTTTACGTATAATGGGATAGTAGAGTTTTGCTGAATTCTTAGAAAATCTCGTAGCAAAACCATACACACACAATCGAAACCTGGGAGTAGTACTGGTCAAACGGTTTATAGGATAAAAATATCTCAGAAGGTTAAAGTGTAGTTTTCGAAAAAATATACGCTAATGTATAGACGTGCATTAGGATTTACTAGTTGCGATTTCGCCTTATTTTTACAAAAGAACTTTTTGTCACACAAAATAATTTTTAGAATTTTTTTACTAATTGAGTTTCACGAATGATATTGAAGTTTGAAATAGTTATGAATTTTGCAAAATTTTCTGCTAGAGCGTGATAAATCATCATTACTCACTTTTTCAAATTCTTTTCAACCTTTAGAAAAACGACAAAATTGTTTAAACTAAACAGTTTAGTATACAAAAGTATTCTCTTTCAGCACTGAAAAATGCCGTATTAAAAAGTCGTAGTCGTTTGGTCAAGACCTACTCCAAATCCATTGTCGTTTTTTCGTTCAGTTTCTCCCGAAATCACTTTTTGGGCTCCTTCGTCAAATCTTATACTATAACTACTGTAATACAAACACAATACTGGGTCTATGCTTTTTTAGTTTTCAAAACTATCGATTAGTTCGCGTTAGACAAACATTTTGAAAACTTTGATTAACGTAAAGTGAGTTTAGAACGTAGTAGTTTGAAATTTGAATGTCCCGATCAAAAGAAAAACAATTTCCGAAAACTAAAAAATAGTCTGAAACATTATATTTGTTCAGGGGTAGAAGTTTTAGAATTGATAAGATAGTAACAGCAGCTGTTTTTAGATTCATGTTTATTTCAACAATAAACAATAAACAGAAATAAACATGGATCTAAAAACAGCTGCTGTTACTATCTTATCAATTTTAAAAAATAGCCCTCGTATTCTCTTTCGTACTAATAATAGTAAAAATTTTCTCTACTTTCTAAAAATATATTCGTACTTTAGAAAACGAAAAAAGTGTTTGCATTTGTAAGTAATAGAAACGATTTTGAGCTTTGTAGTAGTATCGTTTATCCGTTTTGTACAGTACCATTGACAGTATGTGCATCCGCAAAAACGGAAAAGTTTTTCCTACGGTACAAATGGTACTATTACAAAACGAGAAACGGTTTCTATTAGTTACAATGCAAATACCTTTTTTCGTTTCCAGTACGAATACTTTTTAGAGAGAGGACAACTAAATTCATAGTAGACAGACTTTTAGCAGAACTTTTTCATAACTGATTGAGTTTTGAACTGAAAAAATATTCAGAAGTTCCAGGGCTTCGGGAAAAATGTCCAAAGCACCTGAATCAAGCAAAATGGAACTTTTGCCTAGATCTTATTTTGAGATGAAACTTTGGGCTACCTATCGGTAAAAAGAAATCGGTAGATTGCTATGTCAGTTTCCAGATCCTCAAGCTGGTTTTCCAAAGATCCCCTAAAAATTCGAGTTCCAAGGTTTTCGAAAATCGTCTCTGCTTATCAAAATATAGACCAAATTGTCCTCTTTCGATTTCTGAAAGTCGCACGTGTCTGCCTTTTACCGTCTTTGAGTCATTCGAAAAAACAACTACCTGCCTTATATATTGGGATAGATAATAGTAAAGAAATAAGGTGTGAGGCTCGTTCTTGCTTTACTAAAACCAAGCAAACTGCAAGCTTAACTTTAATTATAGAAACGAGTATGAGTGATTAACTTTCAGCGAGTTATTTTACACACAAAAAATGCCCTTTCCAGCATTTAATGTTAAATAATTTATTGTTTAAAAACTGAATCGTCTGATATCTCTTTTTACACGCCATTTTAATTGAGACCTACATGTATGTTTTTTACATAATAGTGGCATTAATTTATTCATTTCAATTGTACGAATGTAAATGAGCGGATTTAGAACCATTGCTAGTTTAGCAATCAATGCACACTCCGTCATTAGGAGGGGTGTTTTAGATGATGATGAAATACCAAATAATTCTAACAAAATTAAAATTGCGTAAGGAGTCCAACTTAATAAATATTCACTGACAAGAAACAGTGTCGCCAAAGCAAAACGTTTGTCAGCTTTTAAACGTTTTAGCCGAGCTGAGTTACGAATAATTATTTTATCGGACAACTGCCGGCGAATGTCGCGTCCATCATGTAAATAAGAACATTCTAGCGTTGATAAGTTTCTTGTACGAATCGATTTCTTTTTTATTCGTTCGGCAACAGGAGTATCGGTATTATTCGATGATTTTCTCATTATGTTGATGGTTTTTGATGCTGTAATAGTAATGCATGGATTACAAAGGTATGTAGTAGCATCCATTGGCAGATCACTTGTTGTATTACTACCAGAACTTGTTTTTAATTGATGTGACGAAAATTTAGCTGGACGTGTTGAAGATGCAGATATACGCAATAATTCCCATTGACTTCTCTGAGGTTCATTTATTGTACTTCGATATATGAGATGTCGTATGGTATGATAAACACGCATGTTAGCGTATAATAATAGCGTTAGAGGAATAAAATACACGAGCAGAAATATGGATACAAAATACAAACGACTGTTCAATGATGAATTTTGCCAATTGAGACCGCAATGAAAACCTAGACCTTCTGGCACATAGCCGAACCCACCGAACAGTGGTGGCACAGCCCAGACTAGACCACATATCCAACAGAGTAAGATAGTCAAACAACTATGTCGTTCAAGAAATTTCTTGGCGAATGGAATATGAAGAACGGTGACGTATCGAATAGCGGACAACACGAAGAGCATATACATGCACACACAACCATTTACATAGGATAAAAAGCCTTCAAGTCTACAATAGAAAGTGGAGCAGAGACGACGGCACAGTAAACATTGCAAAACGACAGGTGGCATGACCACGACAATGATGCTCATTGAACTGGTGAACATACTGATGATAAGTGCATAATATCGTGAACGAAAGTGTTTATGATGAGATGACCAGTAGATGAATCGAATGTTGAAGATCAGACTAATGATAGATGCCAGTAATAGTATTGTACCTACTATACGACTAATAATACAATCAACATAGTTTGCATTTTTAGAACCGTTTATACAGTCAAATATTCGAGATTGTAGAAACAGTGAACTGTTATCGTTTATAACTGTAGAATCTAAACGAAAAACTTTTGTTAGAACCCTTCTGAATGATTTGTAAATCGAATATAGAACTGCTATTCATTTACAAATACTTATTTCCAACTGCTCTACCTTCTCAGTAAGTCTAGTAATGTGCTAACTTCTTAGAGGTTGTAAAAGATAAAAGCTTTTTAATCAATGTATATTAGAGCACTAGCAAATAAGGGGATATCTCTTTTCGCACATGCATATCTTTCTGTTCTCTTTCGTTTCAATAGCCGCACAGAGACGAAAAAATGTCCGCGCACGGGATATCTTATGTGAAAAGAGATATCTCCTTGTTTGCTAGTGGGTAATCCTTGCGAGAATGTACCACGTTTACATCGCCTTTCTACGAATTGTTCGAGAGTAACAGGACTAGTACAACTCGGGCTCTTGATAACGAGTATCACGTTTAAAAA